GGGGGGGGGGGGGACTAACATGTTTATCATCTGGGTGTTGAAATGAAGCACAACAACCCCTTGAAGGGACTGAATCTCGGCTCTAAAATATCTGTCTCCATTCTGACGACAGAATAGCCCTAATTCCAGTGGTTAGGCGGTTTTTCCGCCTGAACTTTACTTTTTGTACTTTACAATTTACCTTAATTAGGATATGTTTTTCCCAGCGTTGAGCTAATGAAGCTAAATGAGCATTGAAAAACGGGGGGCTTTTTACAGCTACTTGTTTACAGCTTATCTGGTTACACTGTAGGGAATTAAAAGCTGTAAGACTGTTGCCCTCGGAAAATCTGAAGCGGCCCAATGGCTTGAAGTGCAGGGGACAGAATTACTGCTTCTTAATTACTTATATCCAAGGATATAGCTGTACCTCCCCCTTGTTAACCCTGCCGAACCTGGCCAGGATTTGGCCTGTTAAATTTTTTTTCAAAATTTTTTTTTGGAGGATTGCCAAAAGCTCAATAGAGCAAGGTCCCCAGAAAGCATCTAGGCCTTGGGAATGCCCAAGTCAGAAAATTGTCAGGAGGGGGGAGGTCTGGCGTGAATTCGCACTCAATTACGAAGGCGTCTCAGTCAATTTCGTGTTCCTTGTGGCATTGAAGCGGCACTGATACCCCCCGTTCTTTTCGATAGGCCCCTGTCTAATTGAAAGATTACGATAGATGTGTCGGGTTGCGGGGCCGGACCTTCATTTACGTTCCCGTCTGACTTCTTTCGAATAAAATCTGACGAATTTTTAACATTTTCGTCAGCCATTCGACTATCCTGTTCCCTGTCTGGGTGAATGTCATCGTATTGATGATTCATATGAGGGAAGAAGCGCCCATGTGTGGGGCTGGCTGTCTGGGGTTTGGTCACCGGTCCGGACTGAGTTTACTCACTTTCTTACAAGTAATAGTACTGCATTACATTTCATGTTTCGGTGTGAAGAAGCTTTATTAGGGAACACTGCGAGAAAGCCGCTATTCATCCATTATTCAGCACTATGCGCCTCTCTTCAAATTAGCATCCGAATCTTGAATAGATATCTGAACATGAATAGACCTGATATCTAAGGATGTGTGTGTGTCGTCATGTCTTGTATTCCAATCCGTTTTTCCCTAACGATCTTACTTTAACTACTAAATACTCACCTATACTAGTTTTAAGTAGTTTCGTAGTAATCAAGCCCGTGACCATTGATTCCGTTACTTACTCAAAATAAATTAACATAAGCTACAATTTGGCACAAGCAGCTCAACACCAATTACCAGCCGACCTGAACTTGTAAGTGGCTCCAGAATCTTCTGGGTATCCTTACGGGAGAAATGACGGGTATTGAGTTCAGTGCTAAAGGCCCAGGACCTGCATAAAGATCAAAACTACTTTTTCAAAAGGTTTACAAAGTAGTAAGAAGTAAAAGCCCTACACGGGTCGCCCATATCCTGTTCCTATTTGAATGCCATCTCTGGGACATCTGTTTGGGTTTCATCATTCTCAAGTTCCGATAAAGCCCGGAAACCGTGTATTTGTGGGCAATTTCGGGCAATTATCTGGGTTGCCGCTAATTAAATGGGGCCCAGGAAGATAGCACGATAGCGCAACGATTTCGAGGGGCCCCAATTAAAATTAATGATTATTATATGGAGAGGGGGGGGGGCGGCAGCACACATAGACGAAGGCGTCAAGTCGAAAGCAGGGACTTGTTTGTTTATCCTATTAAAAGACAACAAAATGTCTCATATTACTTTATTGTGGTTGTTTAGGTGTCAATAAACTTACTGCTTTGTTCAGGTATTGAAAATATTGCCTGTCATCTTGTGGGCAAAGAAGTTTGGGAAGCGATTTTTCCCGAATCATCAGTGTGCCTTAATCAACCAGGTAGGCCATAAAGTTCAGTGGCTCTACTGAAGTACAACTTACAAAGTAGTCTCCAGAGAGCTACAATGCTACCAATCTCTATACTTTAACAATATCCCGACAGCCTGTCATGTCATACTAGTATTGTACATTCGATTACCTTACTTAAAAGGCCTTCCGAACTTACAGTACTTATGAATTAGTTGAATCATCGAGGCACTGATCGGGACCTTTTTGATGGCACCTTTGACACGGCAAACCCATTGAATCCTGGTTTTTTAATTAATTTCTATGACGGCAGTAAGAGATTGTAGTAGACCTCGTACGAGGTGCATCGGGTAGTGTCCCATCGCAAAAACTTGAGTAACTGGTAATCCCTGGGACAATAGACGCCTTTATCAATAATCCGGCAGGAAGCATTTACACAACGTTGAGAATGTGCACTTTAAAACCTATCCAGTAAGTACAATTGTAATGGAGTCAATTTCCCAATCCATCCGAAAGAATCCTCATGATTGAATGCCCTAAAGTCTGGGACATGAGACGCTTTCTAACTTTAAGAAAAGATAATAACCCCCTTGCGACTATGTTATTATAGCAGGGTGGCGTTAGTTGAAGCTAAATCAGAACAATAGCCGTGATTTTACTGAGTAATCTGCTCAAAGTTCACTTTTCTGGTTCGGTCCCGGCCGATTTTGTACCTGCCGAGCTGTGCCTACTGTGTGATCGACAACGAACCGAAGCTGCCACGGAGTCGGTCGACAAGAAGGTAAGGCTGGCGAAGGTTTCAGAGCCACCGTGAGCATTGCACGAAGCGGCTCACTGGCTCGTCGTTTCCAGATAACTCGTACTCCAGTAACTAGTTTAACCCATTTCAGGTCGTGATGTGTGACTCAGACTCCGGTGTATGCTCAGCTTCCCCTCCGACCTCACCACGGGCCTCACAACCCGTACCGTCTGCATCAACGGAAGCGACGTTACTCTGTATGACGAGCCTATATGAACGTACCAGAGAAGCGATCATGCGGATGCAGGCTGCTCAGCAGTGTTAGTTATTACTTACTGGTTGTACTCCGATGTAGTAAATCCCAGATAATCTCTGTCTCAGCAAAGGTCGAAACCCCATGCCGACCCGAACTCGTAAGGGTGTAGCGCCTAAGGTTACCCGACAAGACAGTCCTAGCCCATAACTGCTGCATAGCTGTTGAAGCTGGCACGATTACCGTATTAGTACTAGTAATGCAGAATGTGTTATTACGTAAAAATTACATTACATATATGGAGAAAAAAATTGTAGGCAAAAATGTAGAATTGAGGGGAAGAGAACCTAATTTTCGTACAACAACCTGCCCCAGGGTTGTAGTTAAACACCAATAACTAGTACTGGCTAATTTGTACAGTAATACTTAATACTTAAAAGTCATACTATAAGCCCATACTTATTTGGTTTTTCAGAAGACCTTTAATGGTCCCTCGATAGACTACGTAGTACAACAACTTTGTGGTGGGGACCATTTGAAAAGACTGCACGTTATTCCAAGAAACTTTCGGAAAAACAATTCAACCAAAAGCGGCCCCTGGCGGAGACCCTACCTAGCGAAGGGAGGTATGAAAAGGGAGATCTGTCTGAAGTTCTAAGAGGACCCATGGTTCAGCCAACATATGGGACACCATCCTTCACCGTGGTTTAGTAGGTCCCTTAAAGTGCAAGAAGGTCCTTGGTTCCCACAAGGAAGCATCTGAAGAACAAGAGCAGTATAGTGGGAGCTGAATCACAGGGCTTCCTATTCCTGCATTCCCCGTTATAGGACATGCCCATAGCCCGGATGGTTCCTATTCCATTCAGAGCAGGAACCCGTTGATGAAACCAGGAGGAGCTCCTGCATGGTGGAGACCTCCCAAAGATGAGTATAATGAGAATAAAATAAATGACCCTGCTTTCAAGCAGCTCTCAAAAGTATTTATCACAATGCAACCTACCGATGGGTCTTACAAAGTAATCTGAACTGTTGCCTATTGGTGCCAATAAGGAAGATGTGGCAAAAAAGTGTCACAGCAGTTGAATCAGTCAACATTCTGATTTTTCAGACAGCTGAATAGAAGCGCCAAAACGAAGTGTGAGAATGACAAGTGAAAACATATTGCCTATTGATTGACGCCATTTCACCGTACAATTTTGTATGCTACCGTATTCCACCCGACCGAGCGGCCGAAGGAGCGCTTTGTTTCCCATGTGATAAGCGTGCAAGGGCACAGCGTCAAACAAAACCATTTCGTTCAAGTACCATCTTGATCGGTCACGTAGTACTTACTGACCATCTTATTTTACCACTTCCTGTAGCATTATTCAAGTACCCCCACCTCCGCTTCCCTTCGCCTAGGTATTCTTCCTAGCACAATGACTTTGACTATCTCGAGGATTCTTTCTGTGATATTGCTTTCGATCACTAATTTCTTCCTCATACTTCAAAACTTCAAAAAAAACTTATATACTACAAAATACTGAGGGGATATTACAAAAAAAGGATACTCGAGTAAATTCGTTCGAGTAACGAACGAATCAAGAAGAAGATCACGCTCCACAGTTTCACAGTGACAGTTTTGGAAATGAAGGTCTCCTCTAAACCCCTTAGTGATCCTCTTAACACTAATGGCCTTCCAACCTCGCAGGACAGTGCCTTCTGGAGGCCTCTATTTCTATAAAAATAATTCGACAGGGAGCAGCCTTTCCTGTAGAAGGGAAAGGTCTTATGTACCTACAATCATTTTGAAACGAAGATATTTTTTGCCAACTTTTTTTTACTTTCAAGGGGATGCCTTCACCACTAGAGTAGGAAGATTAGGGGTAGCTATCTGACATAGCATTCGCGCTATTCCTCCTCGAACTCAGGACGAGACCCTTTGAACCAAAACTTCGGGAACGGATGACAGAAAGTATCCCATTACAAGTTCTTTCTGGGCAAAATAAGCTTGTAATGATACTTGTAATGATCCATAGGGAAGTGGTGATAATAGGTTCCTTCACATGTAGATGAAAATTTTGAAGACCGTCAACCAGTGTACTCCTGAAACGTTGGAGTACTGCTTCATACCGATCCAAGGTACTGCAGTAACTCTAAAACTCTTGCAAAAGTTTCAAATCTGTGGTAATTCTTCTCAGTCTCCGCTCCTGTAACTGGTTCCATCCCGGAGTCACTACCTTGAACAGATACTACTCCCTATCAGAACCAGATAATTAAAAGCTCTCGGAAACCCAGTAGCTGGACACATCTTCGCTTTGAAACCTTTTGGTTTTCAAGGGGATAGTAGGGAGGGTAAGGACGGGGATTCAGCAGTCTAGCCACTAAATGCAGCAAAATTCTAGAAAACGCATTTTGGAAAAGTTTTTCACAACATTCATATAACCCTCGCTGAACATCCACCTAATCGTGGTGTCGCCAGTAGCCCTTCCCAGTCAAACTTTTACCAAGCCCTGCGATGCGATCAACACTTCGGTCAACCACAACTCATCCTTACGGATTTTCTCGTTATGAACACAAAGTGGTAGAAGGAATTTCTAAATAAATTCGATACCCTCAAGGACGTGTAATTTTCTGGGTATCGTCGCACCTAGGCAACTACAAAGTCCGCAGTAATTGTAGATACTTTGGCAATACCATGTTCTCGACTTACTATTCATTTGTTTGCATTTTCTTTTATGATTCACGTTTGCGTGAGATTACCACACAGGTGGCAACGAAAAACTGTAGGAAACTCCCATCGAGTTCAGAATTGGTGAACACTACACCTTTGTTTCTGGTGACGACATTGCTTCTTGCTCGTGCTCACATTCTGTAGGCTTTTCAGTAACTCGTTCTTTACTTGTCAATGTTTAGTTGACTATACTATTCTAACTGCCCCATGAGTAAGTCAGAACCTACATCAACCTAAAACTACCTGATTGACCTACAATTGAAACGTGCTTGCTGCCTTTTGGAATATGATTCTGGGGTCGGAACAGGGACCAGGCAGTTGCGAATGAAGTCGAGAAACTTACAGTTACAATGAAGTTCAATGCTCACCCATTTGGGATCCATTGTGGGATCGTAGGAACAGTAGAGACAGTAGGTGTAACAAAAGATGCCTCCTCTGGATGAACTTGGCGTTATCTGCACCATGAACTGCGAGCATTCTATGAACGCAACATACTGTAGGTAGGTTACGTGTAAAAGGTTAAAGAATTTGTTGCGGCGATAGGATTTCCCACGTCTGTGCTGTGAATATTATGAAAATATTCCATTTCGGCGGTGACAATCGGCGATGATCGCATTTTGACGTTTTGTTTTGTTAACGGCTGGCTCGTTGGTGTGAACTTCAACACCCTTCCTATCCGGAGTTCGGACGTGAAATGACCTTTGAACCGTGTCCCCGTTGGGATCCTCACATTCATTCCCAAATATCCCGTCATACGGTAATAGAAAGCGCATTTTTTATGCCGTCGCCAGAGGTCGCGTGCGGTGCCGTCACGCGATGAATCACCCCCTAGGAGTACTTCGCTTTGGCGCCCCTCTACAAGGACGAGTTTTCATTTTGTATCCTTCTTGATTTTGGACGAATTTACAGAAATTCATCCAGTATAGAAGGCTCTTTTCAGTCGAAATGATGTCCCAAATGCAAATGCTCGGGCTGTTGGGCATGGCACCCGCTGTGACCCCGGAGATAAATCGAATAATGTTCGAGAACCGTAAGTATAAAAAGTTCTTCTTCACATTTTACTTGTTAGTATTGTTGGTATGTTGTAAGTAATGGAATATATTACTAATCTCCGTACTACTCAGCCAAGCAACAAAAAATCGGCTTTTCAAAGCAAAAGAACTGAAGGGCGTGTGAGTTGCTCACAGTAGAACTGAATGAAGTCATTACTTCAGCCCCTTTTTCCATGTTACTTCTATATTGAACTTTTGGGAGCTCAAAACTGTAATGAACTTGCAATGGACTCAAAATTGACGGTCCCCCAACCTTGAGAAATCCGTTTCAGCTATCTCCTGCGTATTCTGCAGGTATTGGTAGCTGCTGCCCAGGAAAATCATCGCCATTACTCAGTTTGTTAAAATATGCTTACCCTGGCAGAAAGTTTGGTTTGGAGTTAACTGGGTCCAGGCACTTGAGGAAACATATTTGGAATTGCCGGTTACTATAACGAATTGGATTCTGTCCAGAAATGACAAGAAACCACGGGTGCCCCTGGGCTTCCCCTGAAGAGGTGGTTGGCCTCGTGGGCCCAATGGAATGTTGGGCTGTGGAGTTGCTAGGCCCGCCCTGATGCAGCATATGGTGCAGAGCTGTTCCACTGTCATCTGCTCTAAGGCTAGCCGAATTAAGGAGTCGGGACAACCGGGTCTGTAGTCACGACAGTTTTGGCTCCACGCCAATATGTAAGTAATTTAGAAAGAGGGGGCATGTCTTAGCCCCATATTGATTAGAAAGCTGAGGGAAACCATCAAATGCAAAGATAAGTTCCTAGCACCACTACAAGTATTTCCAACTCTCAAAGATTACGTCGACCATCGAGAGGGATGGTGGTCAAGTTTAGTAGGAGGGCTCAAACACAAAAATTTCTTGAATTCAGTGTAAGAATAAGTTTTGATCGAGTGTTCGACTCTTGCCCCAGACAAACCGCTTTTCCGAAGATGAGGAAATAGCGTCTAAAAAATCTCTTCAGAGCTGGCCGCAGTGAATCCTTTCCTGGCAAGCCCTTTGTGGAACTTGCATGCCGAACCGTCGCATCCACCATTCCAACCTCCGGCGCCTTCAAA